GCCTGACAGGCGCCTGTCACTCTGTAAGCATGGACTGAGTCAGAACTTCACACCCAGCATGTGGATGAGGTTCTGAGGTGGTTGATGGTTTAACCCACAAGAAGTCGGATGTCCAGGAGTGTGTTGTCCCTACTGCCCCTTAGAAGGTTACGCACTATTCTACATATTCTGCAATTGCTAAAAATATTTCAGAGATCTTCTCAAAGGAACTGTTTTCTGAGCTGGGAGGCGCTGTTCGATTCTTCTGTGGGCACCTTGAAGGTGGATTTAACCCAGCGAGAAAGACCTCAAAGTCACCTCGCACCTGTTTGTGTGGATGAAGTACAGAAACCAGGGACACGCGATGTTTCCTTTCTGTTTCTTGACTATTACCCTTGGGTTTTATTTAGTCAATGGTGTGGACTAAGCCCCTGGATGTGTAGCATGCAGACCAGGAGGGCGGGGATACAGACCTTACCTTAGGTGTGGCAGACTAATGTTGAGGGTGCGAGCAGGTGCTGCGTGCACAGTGTACACTGTGCTGGCCACCTTCTCTGCAGGGCCCCTGCCCCAGAATCTCGGGAGTTGATATCTGACTTCTGGTCCCATTGTGACTCCAGACGCTTGGCTTCAACTGGGTGCTTCTGATTCTTGCCTGGGACATTTATCATTTGTGCACCTTGCATGTAAGAGGAGATACACACACACACACACACACACACACACACACACACACGGCTTTTCTACTTGGCTCAACCCCCTGGGGCTGGAAGAAACCCCTTGCTCTTCAGATCCTTCATTTGAATCTCCTTCTGACTTGCCTTATGGTTGTTTGTGACCAGCTTGTATTCATGCTTTGATGGTGGGCCTCCTGCAGGTGGAGGCAACAGTGTGCAGAGCAAAGCCCTTTCCTGGTTATTGCCTGTTGGATCCTCACCACAGCCTGGGGTGCGCAGTGCCGGGGCCGTGACTGCCTTAGATCTGTGCCCCCTCCCCTGGTTGTTGGCTCATAGGTGCCCCTCCTTGGGCTCCTACCCCTCAGCTTCTCCCTGTCCTCACACTCACTGCCATGTGGGCTGGCTGCCTGCTCACCTCCCTATCCCCCTGTGGACTGCCCACACTTGGGGAAGAGGGCCAGTCTGATCTGCTGCTGCACTCCAGCACCTGCTACTTTTGTGAGTGCTTAGTGAGTGACCCAGCCAAGCTCTGTAAGTCTTGGGGCTGCGATCCTCTGAGCAAGGGTCACACATTCTGGGATAGAAAGTCACTGCCTGTGGGGTCATCAGGCTGGTGGGGAATAGCCTGGCCTTATAGGTGCTTGTGGGACTCAAAGCCATGACCTCTGGCCCCTTGGCCAGCCAGGACTAGGAGGAAGAATGGCTGCTGCTGGTCAGAATGTGCACTGGGAGGCTCTTAGAAGTCTTGTCATGACCTGCCCTACCCCTGTGGTCCTCCCACTCTGAGCCCTGCCCTTTCCCTGCTCATGTCTGAACTGGTTTCAGAACAGCATGGGTTTCAGACCCAGATGCTAGGTTGAGTCCCAAATCTGGCACCTGCTGGAGGCCTTGGAGATGTCCCTGAATACCTCTGGGCTGGTGTCTTGGTCCATAAAAAGATGACTGTGGTAATGGGTCCTCAGTAGCTGGTCCTACCACCAGCTATTCATGGCAGGTGCCTCACATGGGTGGGCGAATTAAGCTGAGTCAGAGGATGGTGAGAAAGGCCTCAGTGATGATGGTGACAGTTGTCACTTATTGAGCACTTTTGGTGTGCTGGTGACCTCTTGATTGTATTGCAACTCCAGGAGCTTTGCACTGGTGCCCATTTTGTGGAAGAGGAGCTGGAGGCGCCAAGAGCTTGCAAGAGCCATTCAGCTGGTGAGCACCAGTACTATGGTCTGAGGTTCTAGAATCTTCCTGTCCTCCAGGGCATGAGTGTGTGTGTGTTTGTGTGTGAGCACTGTCACCATTGTTGAGCCACCTGCTCTGTTTCCCTGACAGGCTGGTGAAGCTTATGCCCTTTGTCACAGTGAACACCTACTGGGGTGTCCCAAACAAGTGTTTGACCTACAGCGAGGCAGTGGTTAACCGTTCATGTGCTCCCTCCTCTGCTGGCAATGCTGCCCAGTCCTGGCCACCATGGCAAACCGGCTGCTGACGAGACACCTAGACCTTCTGTCCACCCACAACAGCTCTCTGCACACAGAAGACAACATCTGCCTATAGAAGATGCACTGAGGGCCCTTCTGAGGAGCCCAGGAGCTGGAGCATGGGCCCTTCCATAGAAATACCACCCTGGAGTCCCCCCAAAATCTACAGCTTAGTTTGAGCAGAGGTTCAGGTGCAGGGGGGATGGGAGGAAGAGTATGACAGCTGTCAGTGTGGGTAGCAGCAGAGGTGAGGACAGCCACAGGCTGTAGATGGTTTTGGCTCTGGGGTTGGGTATGGCTGCTGTGTGCCCTCAGGAGAGTGGCTTTCCTTCTCTGAGCTTCAGCTTCTTTACCCTCCTCCTGGAGTTGTGATGCTCCAGGGTTGAGGGTGGGGGGTACCTGGTGCTGGCTGGGGCACTTGTGAGTGTCCTGTGAGTGATGACTGTCCTTACGGGTAAGGTGGCCATGCCTGCTCAGGGTCTGCTGGACAGCTTTGTTACTAACATCAACCTCTGTTCTGCTCTCAGCATTATCCAGGTTTGAAAGATCAAATCCATGGCGAGTCTGGTGGGGGCTCCCAGAGCTCTTATCTGATAGTCTATGGTCAGAAGCAGGTGGGGGTGGGAGTCTCTGAGATGTGCCCAACTCAGAAGCAGGGAGGCCCAGCCCTAGGACTCCACTTCTGCCCACTGTGGCTGGTACTGCTGTGGCTCACACAGGGCTCATGCAGGGCTCAGGCGGGCTCACGTGAGGCCTGCTTCCCAGCTTCCTTCTCACAGTCAGCTGAGGGATCCGCACCTTGACAGGGAATATGTGAAGAGTGTGCGTGTGCTCAGAGCCCTTTCTGGGCAGGTGCTGTCACAGCACGTGGGCTGTTTCCTTCCCCAGGGGCTGGGCCTCTGGATCCTGGTCACGACACAGCCAAGAGGATGAATGAGCAAACAGAGCCCAGGTGTCCAGGGAAGTGTGGCCCAAGAGGGTGAGGGGCTGCACTGCCCATCTGCTCAGCCCTGGGTGAGCCAAGAGAAGCTGGGCCTCCCCTGAGTAACACAGAGACAGGCATGAGGTCAACCTCCTCAGCCTGGCAATCCTGGGGTGCCATTCCTGAGTGGGGACCCATCATTCAACTGTTCATGTTGTTGAACATTCCCACAGGACAGTCACAGGAATGCTGTGTGCATCTGTCATACTTTACAACTCAAGGAAAGATTGGTGCCAGCACACAGGCCCTTGGAAGACAGGTACGTCATATGAATGAGTGAGCAAATGAATGAATGAGTGGCACGACTCTGTCCTCAGCCCCTGTCCTTGCTGTTTTCTTTGCTCTTCAGGCCCCAGGGCCATCTCCTGCATAACTGGGGTGGGCTGTCAGGCCCCTAGCACATGGGAGGACAGGAAGATGGTGACAAAGTCTCACCTGGGGGATCTTGGAGGCACCAGAGCCTCCATCCTGGCACCCAATACCAAGGTCAGTGTCAATTACGCAGCGAGTGTGGGCCTTAAGTTATTTCTTTCCAGAGGCTGCAAAGACATGAGACACATAGTGGGTGTCTACTTGTGGCCTATCTGCATTCAGGCGGTTCACAGCCAGGGAAAGCCCACTTGACAAATGCTTTTCCAAATAACTGGGTATTGTTTGGTTGATTTACCAGTGCCTCCCCCCAAAAGGAGATATTAAATCATAAAATACGATTCAAATAAAAAATAATTCTCAGGAATAATAATAACTATAGATATGTGGTCAAGAAGCAGTTAAAAATGTTAAAACATGCACGCAAACCTGGCTAGTTCAATCCAATCCATCACTGCAGCCCTGGGCTGGAGGAGCCAGGCGAGAGATGTGGTTAGTGGGCTACTCGCCCCTGGTTCATGGACCGCAGGGGCACCTTTGGCCTCTGCTCATGGCCCCGGTGCTCCTGTGCTTGCAGAGGAGAGCAGTTCCACAGGTGAAGCCTCTGGGCGACATGGCCCCTTGAAAGCCTCAGAGCTGAGTGGCTTCTGGCTCCAGGGTCCATGCATTGACCCTGCGCTCCCAGCTCAAAGCTGGCGGTGGACCCTTGTGTCTGGCTTGCACTGTGCCCAGGGCTCAGGATTGGCTGGACTGAGCTGTGAGGGGCTGAGAGAAGTGGCCAGTAGGCAAATACCCAGCTCTACAGAGCAGTCCTTTCCCAGAGAGGGGGAGAGGGGCTCTGGGCACACAATGGGCGGGGGCTGCAGAGGCTGATTTCTCCTGCCTTGGGGCTGAGGCTCTGGTCTCTCTGTTCCCAGGCCCAGCTAGATCTCCTACTAGGATAGCTCTGAGTGCTAGAGGGCAGGTGGGGAATGCGGGACAGGCACTTCTGCTCCTCCAGGTGCAGAGGAGGAGTGCCAGCCCTTCAGATGTCCCTGGGCTCACCTCTCTATCCCACAACCTTGCCTTTGATCCCAGTTTAGGGAAAGGGGGAGGGAGAAGGGCTTTTAACCTACCACCTTGATCTCCAGGCTGGGCTGTGCTGGTGAGCATACCAGGAGGTGCAGCCCAGAGTGGGGTGATTGGGCCAGGACACTCAATTCCACCCAGACCGTCCAGTATTCGGATCAGGGTTTTGGGCAAGAGCATCAGGAGTGTGGACATTGCTCCGCGGTGCCCTCAGGCGGGGATAGGGGAAACTGAGCCCCAGGAGAGGCCAGCAGTGCTCTGGAGGGGGCGGCGCTGGGGAGGGGCCGCAGCGTCTATCTGCCTCCCGGCAACGCTCTGGTTTCTGGCGCTGCCCCTGTAACCCGACTCCCGCGCGGCCGCCTTCGGGGCAGCCCCCCTACGCGGGGGGCGGGAGCCGATTGAGCAGCGCCCGGACCGCGTCCCGAGTGCCACATCACTGCGCCCGCGCCCACCATGCCGGCCCCGGCACCGCTGCTGCTGCTTGCCGCCCTGGCCGCCTCCGCCGCCGCTGCGGCCCGGAGATGCGCGCCTGCCCGGGACCGTGCCTGGGACCCCGCCGGTAAGGCCGGCGCCCGGGAACTAGGACCTTTTCTCCCGCTGGTCACGCGTCCACGGTCCACTGGACGACGTCCCCAAAGTGGGCGCCATGTGACCTAGGACAAGGGGGGGCCTCTGCGAGGGAGGGGAACGTCTCTCGGAAACATCCTAGCGGGGACCCCAGAGCCCAGTGTAATGGACAGCGGAGGGACGTCCGCCCTGGCTATTGGGTGAGGCCCTTTGGGGGTCTTGCAAAGCGGCAGGGGTGGCCTTGCAGGAGGAGGCCCAGCAGGCCCGAGAGAGCAGGTGCTAGAACTTCGAAGGTCCTGAGGCCATCTGAGGTCCCTGAGTCCTTCCAGGAATGGGGCCGTCTCCCTGTATGGCAAACTTCTAACCCCTCCCTCCCAGCTCCAGGCTGTGATGTGGCCTATGGTTTCTGGGAAGCGGGCCTAGGGGCCTCAGAGGGACATGGGGTCCTGGTGGGGTCAGGGCAGGGAGAGGGGAGGGTTCCCACTGACGCTCTGGGGGTGGTGTGCCTATGTGTGTGACCTTGCCAGACGGTTCCTCTGGTTGTGGAGTGTGGGGCAGGTGGGTAGGGGCACACTCCCCTCCAGTGTGGCCTCAGAGCTGGGGGGCCACCCTGCCAACCTTCCTTAGGGATCTTACTGGGAGCCACCTGTGTTCTGGGAGGATTGGGGTCAGATAGGCTCAAGGGTCCAGGTGCTGGGTTCAGAATCTCTCAAGTGCTGGGGTTTGTGGACACCTGAGAACTTGCCTGGGCTGGAGGGTGGATATGCCAGGGACAAAGTAACATCTCTCTGGTGTGCCAATATTGATCTTTCTCCTTTCCTTCTCTGTCAGCCTGGACCTTCCTCTCCACCTTGGGCCCTCCCTCTTGTCTTTCCCTCTCCCCTCTTTCTGTAGAAAGGCCAGGCCTGGGCCTGGTGCAGGTGTGGGATGCTGCCAGAACATGGAGCAGCATGGAAAGACCCTCCCCTGGACCCTTGGGATCCCTGAATGTGTCTAGAATCACAGGCTTGCCAGAGACCACAGACCCTCTGCCGGGAAGCCTGACTTGACCTGCCTTTTTCCCAGGGAGAAGTGCAGCCCCTCCTCTGGACACAGGCATTCCAGGGCACCTCTTCCTCACCAGGATGGGCACGGTGATCTCTGTCTCTAGCTGGTACTGAGCCCTGCTGAGGCGAGACATAGTGTTTCTAGAATAAATCCCTCTTCACAGCGTGGAAGTCAAGTGACTCTCCAGACCACAGACTTCATCTCAGCTCCTTATCCAAGGGCTGCTACGTCTCTGTCTCACGTAGCAGGGCTCAGAGGGGGCTTGGACTTTCCTGTCCCCCTCTCTCGTTTTCTTCCCTGGAGGACTTCCCATTTTCACAGGAGCCTGGGGGCTGAGGTGACTTTCATGCTTCTAGAGAGTGGGTTCTGGGATCAAATCCTGTCTTGTCTACTCTGCTGTGTGATCATGGGCACATGGCCTGAATTCTCTGGCCTCATCCCGATTTCTCATGGGCTAGAAGGCCCTGACCAGGAGGAACGACCTACTGGCAGTGTAAGAGGGAGGGATTGAGTGCAATCTCAATCCATGGGTTGAAGAAATGCTGCCACCTCGTGTTTACGAGGCGTCAAACTCCTAAAGAGCAGCTTTCCGACTGGTGCAGTCTCAGAAACATACCACGCCAGCTTCGTGCATAAATTTACATTTTCCAGTAGCCACACTAAAGAGGCAATAAGAAAGAGGGAAATTAATTTTAATAACAAATTTTATTTAATGCAATATATCCAGAATGCTATTCCAATATTTTGTCGTTAATACGAAAACTATTAAAGAAACATTTTACATTCTTTTTTCCCCTTTTTTTGTAAAGACAGAGTCTCACTTTATCGCCCTCAGTAGAGTGCTGTGGCGTCATACAGCTCACAGCAACCTCCTACTCCTGGGCTTAGGTGATTCTCTTGCCTCAGCCTCCCGAGTAGCTGGTACTACAGGCGCCCGCCACAACGCTTGGCTATTTTTTTTGCAGTTTGGCCAGGGCTGGGTTTGAACCCACCACCCTCGGTGCCCTACTCACTGAGCCACAGGCACCGCCCACATTTTACATTCTTGTATTAGTACTAAGTCTGGAGTGTGGTGTGTCACACTTGTCACACATGTCACTTTGGACTTGTTGCATTTCAAGCACTCCGTAGCCACATGTGGCTGGTGGTTACCACGACGGACAGTGTGGTTTGAGACCCTTCTAGGTGTGCAATTTTTCACCTACTCTGTGTTTCAAGGGTCACAGGGGAGGTCAAGTCTCTGGGGGTGTCTCAATGTGTCTTGTGGGTGGGGATGGATGGCTGCACTGATGAATGGACAGGCCACCCAAAGTAACCCTGGCAGACAGGGGCTGGGATGGGCAGAATGTGGGCTTTGAGTCAGCTTGGCTGGCTTTTTGCTTTGTAGGTGATAATCAGAGGCCAGCTGGGTAAGGCCCACCCTCATTCTGGAACTTGCTGTGTGGTCTTGGGGCAGTGGCACAACCACTCTGGGCCCCACCTCCATCCTACCCTACTGTGGTGGTCAGTGCAGCACACACTGTGGCTGGCTGGTTGTGTCCCTGACAAAAGATATGTTGAAATCCTAACCCCCAGTACCTGGGATCATGACCTTACCTGGAATAAGGTCTTTAAGTCCAATGACTACTATGCTTAGAAGAAGAGGGAAATTAGAACATAGCAGGCCGTCGGGGCAGAAGGCCATGTGATGACAGAGGCAGAGGCTGGAGTGATGCAGCCACAAGCCAACGAATGCCAGGGGCTGTCTGAAGTTGGAAGACGCAGGAAGAATCCTTTTTTAGAGTTTTCAGAGGGAGAACAGCCCCGCTGACACCTGGATTTGGGACTTTGGCCTCTAGACTGTGACAGTGAGTTTCTGTTGCTCTACTGCAAAGGACCACATCAGTTTGCAGCCCTGGCAAAGTAATCCACCTGCCTCTCTTCCTCACCCATGGCGGCCACCCTGGAAGCAGGGCTTATCAAAGCAGCAGGTGCTGGCCCCAGCCGTCCTGTGCTAAACCCCGACCTGGGAGGGAGGTCACAGGGGACAGCCCTCCTCCTGTTTGCTGTGCACCTGAGCTACAGTGGATTCACTGGGTGCCAGGTGCTGCCTTCACACTACCTATGCAGGGAGGGACACCTTGCCACACAGCTTCCTGAGGCCAGCAGAGGCCCTAGCGCCAAGTTAGAGTTAGTCCTGCTCACTGACATCTGCTGAGTCAGATGCAGGGAGAATGTGTCCAAGGGCAGCAGGCCCTGAATGAACCTCTAGGCCTCCTCATACCCAGCTCAGTGGCAGACACACAGCCTTTTGTGTTGGAGTCTTGGGACATGAGTACAGGGCAGGAAGGGATGCTTGGCTTAGACTGTCCATCTGGGGAGGACTTGACCTTAGAAATGACTTGTCACAGCATCTGCCTTGATCTGAACTCTTTGTCACAGCATCTGCCTTGATCTGAACTCGGTACAGGATAAGACAGAACAGGCTGAGCATGAACCTGGGGCCAGAGCAAGCCCTGCAAATGGTCAGCTGTGGACAGAGATGCTCACTCAGGGTTCTGCAGGGGACACATGCCCACACTGGATGCTGCTGCACAGGACAGAAGTCCACACAGGCCCTGTGTGGATGTGGCCTTTTATCTGCTCTTCCCAACATGCTGTCCTTAGAGGCACAGAGGGGCAGAGCTGGCACAGACCCCGGGGCTGGTTTCTTTATCTTTTGTTGCTTCCACGCCTCCTTTATCCTGCAGAGTGGTGAGAGCACAAGTGTGGGGACACTCGGGGTTATGACAGCCTGTGGGTCATCCACAGGAGATAGCAAGGGTGCCTGGTGAGTCCCACGCCTGCAGGCCCGAGAGCAAGTGGCTTATCCGCTTGGGGGCCTTGAGGCGGTTGTTGCCAACTTGTGCCCGTCTGCACTGTGGGTGCCTGGGCACGGGTGGGGGTGCACTGTGGCTTCTCTTTCAGGTCAGAGCTGCTGATCCATTACCCAGACACTCAGGAAAATTACATTCATGCCTGTTGTTTTCCTTAAGTAGTGCCAGTCAGTTAGAACAACATGGAACCTTTCCACTTCAGGTCTTGGGGTTGTGATAAAACAGGAACAGCAGTGACGTGGCTATTATTTATGGAACATCTTACCCAGGCCATGTTGTGTGGTAGGCACTAGACGTGGAGGAGTGGAGGAGACAAGACACAAAAGAGCCACTTGTTGGGGACTCTTTGCTGCCCAGGTCTGGTGCTGGGCATCTTCCCTGCCCCCCACTGCCCTCAAGACACACAGTGTTCTCCAACCATGTGGTTTGGACAGGGAGTGAGAGTGCGTCCAAGGGCAGCAGGCATCTTCCCAAGCCGTCCTTAGACTCCCCTATTTCATACTCTAGAAGCGTTTGTGTGGCTCTCTTTTGTCAGTTATAAAGGTAAAAACCAGAGTTGTCACATGAGCACCTGTTGGCAGTAAGGGACCCTGAATGTCACCATCCCACGAGAGCTTTGTATGCTGGTCAGTGTGGGGAGGTCTGTGGCTGCCCAGTCCACAGGGAGAATCAGGTGCTGGGAGGTTCTTGGAAGAGGGCCACCAGGCCAGTGGAGTGGGGCTAGGCCATGCTTCCATGGTGACCCCGTTTGGGGAGCTATTGTCACTCACATGTGCTCAGCCAAGATCTCATAACCCCCAAATATTAAGGTGAACTCCTAAAAGTGGCCCATACCCTTCCTAACCTGTAGTTCAGTTGTGAGTCTTAGGTGGGGTTCCAGGATCAGAAGCTTTTCTTCTGGCTCCAGCCTCTCACTCACCTCCTTCTCGCTGCCCACGGCCCAGCACTCCCACACCTGAGGTTGTTGGCTCCTGCTGTCTCCAGCCTGCTCCTCTGGGCCAGGTGAACTCCTTCGTGGGCCTTTTCCAGGGACAGCTGAGCCGATCTCTGACACCGAGCTCCCTCTCTTGGAGTCTGTTCTTCCCAAGAGCTCTTGGAATATGCTTCTGGTCAGAAATACAGCAGTTGGTGTGGTTTACATTGGCTTTATTTGTCCTTCATGGGGTCTTTTAGTTGGGTCCATGTTGAGTCCCCGACAATTGCAAGGATAGCTTCATGTGTTGATCCTTGTTTACTTAGAAGATGGTCCCCAACTCAATAAATGGTGAGAAGTATGTTCTTGAGGGTAGGGACTACATTAGGCTGACTCTTGGAAGGGGTTTTGAGTAAAGTGGAGTCAGCGTCAAGGGCACAGTGGAGCATGCCGGTATGCTCTCCTGATGGCTGATTGTTAAATATTCTAGGATCTTGTGAGAATTGGTTGTTAAACTGTTGCAAACTTGAAATTGGCCATGATGGAAGTATTTACACCATGGCAATCAGCAAACATCACAAGTGTTTGCCAGCACATCGCTGGGCAGCCCCAGGCTTTGAGCTGGATGGATGCCGCTGAACCCAGCTGCCTTCTGGCTGTCTTTCCTTGGGCAAGTCATGTGTCCTCTCTGAGACTCAGTCTCCTCACATGAGAAATGGGGGTGACTGCTGTGACTACTTCAGAGGTTGCTGTGAAGATTAAATGAGATGAACCCAGGGCTGGTTCCCCACAGACACTCACAATGGGCATATTTTACAGGATGGCTGAACGACAGTGACTCATGTCCCTAATAGTGCTGTGTTTCTCTTTCTAGGTGAATGCCACAGGCCGCCAGCTGCACATAGCGGTACAGTACCTGGACTTCCCTCGGTTTTGTTTTGTGGGCATGCTCCAGTCCCTCCAGACTATCAGAGCATTTTAAGGAACTGACCCTGTGGTTTCCAAAGTGGGTAATGAACAACATGGTCCATTAACCAAATCCAACCCCCTTCTTAAGCAACTAAAAATCAGATATACAACAAAAATGCCAGCCCTTCCCTCTGTGGTACATGGCTCCCACCCCCTCTGCCTCCTCAAGCCTCTGCAGAGGTATCTCTCCACCCTTTACCTGTCCAGATCCCAGCCCCCAACCGATGGGGGCAGCCCTGGAAGGGCTGGGCCACATCTTGCCATCGACATGGGCTACTTGGCCCTTGTCAGCTCTGTGCCTTGGGCAAGTCTCTTTCCCCCTTTGGGCCCCAATTTCCTACCTTGTGAAAGGAGGAAGAAGAAGCGTGTCTGACTTCACAGGTGATTTTGAAAATTATGTGGGATCCAGTATATTTCAAATGCTCAGCACAAGGCTGGTTCTCTGAAAGAAGCAAACATTTCCTCAAGTGCCTTCCTGCCATATTTGAGTATCTGGTATATTCTAGTGGAGGGATTAGACTTTTAAGAAAATCAGGAAAATTTTTTCCCAGTACAAAAGTCAATGGCATATATTAGATGCTGTAGGCAGAGAAATGCTGAGCAGAAACAACCCTGCCCTTCCTAAACTTGGACATGGAAAACGGGCAAAATGCCATGTCTGAGACTGCGTGATGCTGCCACTGTGAAGTCCAACTGAGGACAGGAGGAGAAGGCAATGGGGGTGACAGTGTGGAGCTGGAGGCTTCAGGGACTCTTCTGTACCACAAGGGTCTGAAGGGCCCTGTGTGGCAGATGGGGGCCTGTGGAGATGGGACGTTTGGGGCCTGTCCACACTGGGCTGGATGTCCACTCCTGAGCTGGCTGAGCAGCCATAATGACCAAGCATCAGAGAAGCCCTTCCTCTGGCCTGGGCTTCCTCATCCTTGTGAGATGCAGAAGAAGCCATAGCTGTCTTTATCCAGCCTTGTCACTAAGGCCTGAGCTCAAACTGATTAGGGATCTGCCTTTTCTCCAGGGATTTAAGATGGTCCAGGCAGTTGGTAACTTTGGGGACTTCTTTGCAATGGACTTGTGTCCTCAGGGTGGTTTGTACCTGTCTCTGCCTACTACAGTCTGCTGGCCCCATTCATGGACCCTACCTAACATGGGCAAATCCTCCCATAGCTGCTTTCTGCTGTCCTGTCCCCCACTATGGAGATGTGGAGGCTGAGGTTCAGAGTGGCCTGGCCCAACTTGCTTGCTAGTGGGTAGTTGAACCCAGTCAGCCTTAGAAGCCCTTTCTGGTTCTCCCTCAGGCCCTGATTCCTCCAGAGGAGCCCTGGCCCTGGCTTTCCCCTGCCAGATGGTGGGTGTCCCCATCCCTACAGGCCCTGGACATGTCTGATGCTTGATATGGGCCGTCATAGGAGGGAGTGATGTGTCAACCTGTCTCCCCAGCCACCTGCGTGGACCTGCAGCTCAGGACCTGCAGTGATGCTGCCTACAACCACACCACCTTCCCCACCCCGCTGGAGCACCGGTCACGGGAGGCCGTGGAGGCCAGCTCTGAGTACATCCTGCTGAGTGTCCTGCACCACCTCCTGGAGGGCCAGTGCAACCCTGACTTGCGGCTGCTCGGCTGCGCCGTGCTGGCCCCCCGGTGTGAGGGCAGCCAGGCACTCAGGCCCTGCCGGCATGTCTGTGAAGGCCTGCGTGAAGCCTGCCAGCCTGCCTTTGATGCCATCGACATGGCCTGGCCCTACTTCCTCGACTGCCACCGCTACTTTGCACATGAGGAAGAAGTCTGCTATGACCCGCTGGAGAAGCTTCGGGGTAAGGGCGGGCCTCAGGGACTGTCATTTGGGGAGCGAGCAGGTGTCCAGGTGGCCAGTGAGGTCAGAACCACACTGAAGGGAGCAGCTGAGCTCCCAGGGACTACAGTGGCATAGGTGCTGGTCGAGAGAGGAGCTGCTCCCAGTGGCTCACAGAAAGGTACCAGGCGGGCATCAGGCAGTGGCAGTGAAGAGAGAGGGTGGTCCCACCACCCAGGACCCTCCAGCAAGGCTCAAAAGGAAGGTTCTGGGTCAAAGTGGGGTTGTGCCTTGGTTGAGGCTCTGTTAAGTGACCTGAGATGGAGGTGGCACTCAGGGAGCAGATGTGGGCAGAGGGGGGTGGAGGTTCAAATGCTCAGGGAGAAGTTGTGGGCACGAAGGGCTTGGGATGCCTGCGTTCAAGGAGCAGATGTGGGCACAAGCAGGGCTGGCCTGGGGACCATGTCCTCAGTGCAGCTCCTCTCCCCCAAGGATTTCAATTCCAGGCTGTGCACCTAGTCTGGGTGGGCTGTCTGTGGCTGGGCCTCACAGGTCACACAGGGAAGTTTGGCCTGGAGTAGACTCCTCTTAGTGGGGTCTGTATGGCCACATGGGCTTGGGGATGTGGGGAGATGGGCTTTGTCTTCTCACATGGACAGAGAAGTGGGGGTGGGGCAGGCAGCCCAGGCAGCAATGGGCCACTTCTCTGCTAGGGTGCAGAGAGGTTGCAGAGGGCCGTGGCAGTGGGTGGCCTGCATGGGGCTACCCTGTGTCTTTCACCCCTGAGTCTGTTGTCCACCTCTGTAGACCCAGCATTGTGACAAAGGCCCTAATGTCTTCCTTTATTTCATCTGAATGAGTTTAAACTTAAATTTGAATATGCTTGTATGCCAGTGTGCACCGTGCCAGGCAGTGTACGGCAGTGTCCACTCCTGATCAGGTCCACAGGGTCTGGCACGAGGCCCCATGCATGTGCCATCTCATGTGCACTCACAGGTGAGGAAGCAGAGGCCCTGGGGAGTGACCAACTCAGTCATTGATGGATGAACTGATTTGTCCCTCAAACAGCTGTTGAGCACCTACTGCATACATGGCTCTCTGCTGGGACATTGAGGATGGTTGGGGAGGGGACACAGACCTGCATCTGGGATGATGTCTGGGATGATGCATCTGATGTGTGTGTCTGTGGGATGTGCTATCCCACAGTCCACAGGTGGTGTAGGGACTTAGGGCTGACCCTGGTGCTCCCGGGAGCCTCAGGCTCCTGGTCTGAGAAGGGCTGTGAGCCCTTGGGCTTCCGTGTGGGTGCACAGGGAGCTGTCTCCATGTGAGGGGCTCTCAGGGACAGGGTGGTGGAGGTGGCTGAAAGGGCCCAGGGCTGAGGGGAAGGAAGCCAGGTGGCTCCCAGGGCCAAACCTTCTCCTTGGGAAAACCTGAAATTATTGAGAGAGATTATTTCAGGCATCTCTGTCACCAAATTGCTGGTTCTGTCTGCTTTCTTTCCCCTCCAGAACCATTTTGAGCAGAAACAAAACCACAGGGTCAGTAGGACGCTGGTGAAAAAGTGTTAACTCTTTGTGGTCTCCAGGGCCAGCCCACAGAGACCTGCATCCTGCTTCTGTGGGCTGGGCTGTGAGATCTTCTGTGGGCCGGGCTATGAGACCTTCTGTGGGCCGGGCTGTGAGACCTGCTGTGGGTCACCAGGGCTGTCCTCAGGTTCTAGTGAGTGGAAGGGGTGGGCGTGCAGAGATGTCTGGAGCCTCCTTCTCTCCCCTCCTCTTCCGCCAAGTCCTTCTTCCTCCCCAAGCTCCTCCTTTCTGTCTGCTGAGCTGGTAAGGCTGTAGCTCTCCCAGCACATGTGTGGGAGCACCCATAATAGTGGAGTGGTGGGCTGCCAGGCTTCTCAGTACTGTTCTCTCTGGATGTGTGGTGGCGTTGACACTGCTCACACCATGGTGCCACATACGCAAAGCGAAACACTGTGATTACAGCTCGATGGTCGGAAAGCCAGACACGCAGAAAGTCAGCAGTAGCAGGGTTCTGCAGCTGTGTCCTTTCCCTTATATGCTGTCACTGTGCCTTTTAGGAGTTTCCCCTAGGGACTCCTATCACCCTGTTTTGCAGTGTATAATGAACATGATTTTGATTAAGGTTTTGAGGGAGCAATAAGGATGATAGTACTAATAGTACTAATTTTGCATCTACACAAACGTTTTTAAAATTCTTTTATTTATGCTTATGCATTAAAAGTGTAACTCTAGAAAGCTATGACAATATCGTATGCAAAATAGTAGCCTGGAATACAGTAATCGGTTTTGTTGAATTTTTGATAAACATGCGACAAAAGCTTTTTTGGCTGCTGAAGAATGATTTATTTCTCTTCATACTCTTTAGGTGAGAACTAGCAATCTAGCTAACATTTTTTACAAAAATTATTGGAAAGTCCCCCGAAAAATGCCCAATCTGTCTTCATACACTGCAAGCTTTAAGCTTTAAATTTTAATTAAAAAATTAAACAAAATATTTTTTTCCTGAAAATTTGGGGCAAAAACATGGGTCTGGATTATTCGTAGGAACACATTATACACATCAAAATATGGTGCTTTTATTCCTAAAATAGCATTAGGAACTGTGTTGTGCTTTATACATCTCTTGGGTGCTGCTGTTGGCTGGAGACCTTGTTCTAAGTCTAAGGGAGCTTAAATTAAAAACATAAACAGGCAGGGAGCCACCCAAAGGAGATATGGGGGTCCCACCAACACATCACTGCTGTGTGTGGGGGTTGTGAGGGTGCCAAGCGTGGTCAGCTGGGGAGGGAGATGGTACAGAAGGTGGCAGGGGCAGCCAGGTCAGCCAGGGGTTGGGGGGGCACAGACACCAGACACTGACGCCAGTTCCCCTGCTCCTCCCCAGCAGGTCTGGAGGCCGAGGAGGTGCTGCCCTCAGAGCTTCCACCAACCTTCATACGCTTTGTCCATCACTCCTACGCCCAGATGGTGCGTGTGCTGAAGAGGACAGCTGCCCGCTGCGCCCACGTGGCTAAGACCTACAGCATTGGGCGCAGCTTTGACGGCAAAGACCTCCTAGTCATCGAGTTCTCGGGCCGCCCAGGCCAACATGAGCTGAGTGAGCGCCTGCACAGAGGGCCTGCCCCTGGCCCCACTCGGCCTTGGGGTGCACAGCTTGGGGGTGTTTGGGGCACTGGGAAAATGCAGGGGTGCTGCTTGGTGCCTGGCCATATCCTATAGGGCATACGGACCCACTGTATTAAAAAGGGTTTCTCCAAAATATCCATTTCACTTGAAAATTTGAGGGGCAGAGTAGACTATTTTATAATAATGGAGACACTGATCCAATGGGGATTATACAGGGGTAAAACGAAACTAAAAATTTAAAGCAGAAGAAGTGCTGTAGTGCAAGGACACAGTGATATTGTCTGGGAGAGTAGGGGGAGGCTGGAAGGGGCAGGGCAAGTTCTAGGTGTCAGGAAGAAACAGGGTGAGCAGCCCCCACAGCTTGGGAGCGCCAGGCCCTCGTGTGTGTGAAGGATTGTGTGACCCTGTGCACTGTTTGTCCTAGAAAACGAGCCCAGGCAGAGAAATTGCTCCAGGAACGTGAGACCAGAGTGATGTGAATTAAATGATTGTTCCATTTAAAAAGCCTGAATCCATTCCCATTCATATCAGGCTTAGAGATCGTGTTTCAAGATGGGAGAGGGCATTGTGGAAAATGCTAGATGCTACTGTTCCTTTGGAGCTATCTTTTTGCAGAGCAGATTAGGAAATCAAACTTCATTGCCTCTGTAATCTGCTGCTCATTCTAAGTTGCAAAGAGTTACTTGGGCTGGTGGTGTCTGAGACTCCATGATGTCCTAGCAAAGACCTAGCCCATCCTGTGTTGGGGGTGGGATACCATGCAGGTTCCCTTCCCTGGGCACAGAGAGCATCCAGTGCACAGGGGAGAGGGCAGAGCCTCCAGGAATGGGGACTCAGTGAATCCAAGTCCTGCCTTGGTGCTGACCCCCAGTCTACCTGTCCACATGAGCATGCTAGTCAAACAGGATCAATCTGGATGGACACTCAATCCTCACAAGTTATTGGAAAATGCATCCCCTCTTGGTTACCTTTCCTAGTATGGCCACCTTGACCAGTTTCATCCTATTGGTCTAGACAGGGTGGACACCATGAGTCCAAAGGCCTTATCTTTCACCAAAGGTCAGAGGTTGTCTGGACACATCTCAGCCCCCATGGCACACTCTGTTCCCCACTCCAGCTGTGGGTGGTATGCTCTAGGTGGAAGACAGGTGCTCTCCGTGTGGCATTGGAATTTGAGGGTGAGAGGTATCCCCTGTGCAGAGGGGCAAGGAAGGTGAATGACATGGAAAAAGCCTCCTTTCATTTATACCCCTGAGATGTGGAATCTGAGGAACATGAGTGTTCAGTCCAACCCTTAGAGGTCCCTGTCACACATAGCTGGGGAGGGAGATGCCATTTTCCAGGTAAGCAACATTAAGGCTCCGAGAGGAGTGACTTGCCCATGGTCATAAGCTAGTAAGGCTGAGAGTCCTGGTTGACTCTTCTTCCTACAATCTATTCATCCATCCCTTATTCATCTATCCATCCATCCCTGCATAGATCCATCTGTCCATCCCTTTATCTACCTAGCCATTATTTACCCATGTGTCCATCAACTATCCATTCATCTATGCAGCCATGCATCCATCCAAGCATCCATCCATTCATTCTTCAATTTATATACCTATCCATCCACACACCCACCCACCATCCATCCATCCACACACCCACCCACCATCCATCCATCCATTCATCCGTTCATCTGTCTACCTACTCATCCATCCATCCATCCCCCCATCCATCTACTCATTAATTCTACTTATCCATCCATCCCTCCACCCTCCCACTCACCTACCTATCTATCTATCCATCCATCCATCCATCCATCCATCCATCCATCCATCCATCAGCTATCCATCTATCCTCATTCATTCATTTAAGGGTCAGCTGCTTTCCCAGCTAAGCACCAATGTGCACCTTGAACTGTTCCACAAACATCAAGAGTGGCTATCAATGAAATTCACATGGATCAATGATAAACATACATTATTATTAATATCTTGTCATGCTAATAATTATGGCTAAACATAGAAAGTGAGCTCAAAAAAAGTGATGACCTTGATGAGAACTCATTATACATAGAGATTCTTGAGTGAAAACAAATATAAATCAGTCCCAGCACATCTGGTCACCTTTGCTTGTTAGGGGGTCAAGCCTCTGGGGACCCAGGGCTTTGGGATGATGCTTCAAGTCACTGTATTCCTCCCCAGTGGAGCCTGAGGTGAAGCTCATTGGCAACATCCATGGCAATGAAGTGGCAGGGCGGGAGATGCTCATTTACCTGGCCCAGTACCTGTGCTCTGAGTACCTGCTGGGTAACCCCCGTATCCAGCGCCTGATCAACACCACCCGCATCCACCTGTTGCCCTCCATGAACCCTGATGGCTATGAGGTGGCAGCTGCCGAAGTGAGCACCCCTGATATCTGGGTCTTGTGGGTCTGATGTTCCCCATCTGTTCACTTACTAGTTGTTTTTATGAGTAGTGCTATGGGGCTGTCATTAAGGGTGAGGGGATTCATCAAAGTCCTGCTTTGGGGAAAGGAGGCACTGAGAATTCCAGGTGTATTATAAAGGTGATGCATGTGGTAAGAAAAATTTGTGATATAAAGGGCATGACAGTGCCAGCTGGGGATTAGGGGAGCTCTGGAGGACGTGGGGAGGGAATGGCAGTTACTGTGGTACTTTAGGTAGGGAATGGGAATGGTTGGAGGGGGCAGCCAGGGCAAGGCTCCAAGGACAGGCAGGGGGGACTGGGATGTGGGTAAGGAAGTTAGGGCAGCTGGCTAGACACGCTCACATGCTCATCACTTATGGCTAGAGACAGCCCGACACCCTGGCTCTGACCCTCAGCCTGGCCCCAGGCCTCATCTTGGAGGTCTCAGGTTGGGGCGTGCTGACCCTCATTTGGGGACTGGCCTGTGCTTTAGGGTGCCGGCTACAATGGGTGGACAAGCGGGAGGCAGAATGCGCAGAACCTGGACCTGAATCGCAACTTCCCGGACCTGACATCAGAGTACTACCAGCTGGCTGAGGCCCGGGGCGTGCGCACCGACCACATCCCCATCCCGCAGCACTACTGGTGGGGTAAGGTAGGAGCCACTGCTGCCAGCCTGTCCCTACAGAGCATGGCTGGGTACTCTGGGACCCTGAGGTCCTGGCTTTCCCTCTGAGCCTTGGTCACCTGTCAGTGAAACGGGGACAGCTCCTCTCGGGGTTGTTGGTGGGATTCAGGGCATGCATTGAAAACAGAGTCCCTGCTCAGTGACAGCTGCTAAGCCCTGCTGAAGCCACCTTGGCCCTGGCCAGGTGGGGCTTCCCTGTGGAGGCCTGAAGCTGGGAAAGCCTGTGGCATTGCCAGGGATGTCAGTGGGTATGTGCAGGCCTGAGGGCACCTCCTCTGTCCTGGGCAGGTGGCCCCTGAGACCAAGGCAATAATGAAGTGGATGCGGACCATCCCCTTTGTGCTCTCGGCCAGCCTCCATGGGGGTGACCTCGTGGTGTCCTATCCTTTTGACTTCTCCAAGCATCCCCAGGAGGAGAAGATGTTTTCTCCCACACCTGATGAGAAGGTAAGAGGCTGTGGGTGCTGCAGGCAAGGCAGGGAGGGGTGTGTGTGGCCTGCAGAGCTGGTGCCTTGTGGCCGAAGGAGTTGCTGTAGCCTCAGTGCTTAGGGTGAGTCAGCACCACTCCCTCCGGCCCAGGCTCTCCCTCCAAAGCCTCCAGCTCAGGAGAGCGAGCAGGCCCCCTCCTCTTCTCTGAGCTTCCAGAGGCTGGCTGCTCCGCCTTTTTGGATGTTCTCACCTGAACTGTCTCCAAAGAGCCATCAGGCCTGACAGATTCCAGGAGTTCCTGCGGAGAGGTGCCACCCAGGCTGCCAGCAGAGGGCAGTGCTGCAGCGCTCACGGCCTGTCCCTCCCTCTCTGGCCACCTCTTGTCAGGCACTGGGCTCCTCGGGAGTCAGTGGTGCCTTGCGCCCTGTGAGGCCTTTCTTCTCTCCAGGCCTCAGTTTCTCTCACTGCTCATAGACCAGCAGGTGTTAAGGCCCAAGGTGGTGGCAGGACCCTGCCCCACTCTCCCCAAGACAACATGCTGCCTGTGTCCTGGCCTTGACTGTCCCTTCACAGGCCATGAGGGATAGAAATTTATGCAGGCTGGTCCTCTAAAAAGGGCCTAGGAATTGGCCCCTTTCCATAAGAAAACTGAGGTGAAGGAGGGAGTGCGATCTGAGATGCACAGTCCACTGCCCTTCCTCTTGCCTCGACAGGCCCAGAGTCACTCCCCAGGCTGCCTGGTGGATCAGATACAGGGCAGAGAGCTGGGCCTGCACTCCACCTGCCCTGGCAGTTTCCATGCAGGACCCAGGGAAAGGGTGGTGGGTGGGGCAGGTGCTAGGCCCTTGGCTCCCTGCTGGAGCCTTCACGTGACTTGTCTTCCTCTCTGAGGCCACCTGGCCAAGCAGCACAGCTGGTCATTAGCCCTGCCTCACCAGCCCCTTCCCTATCCTGAGACCACCACTGAGAAAGCAAAGGTAACTGGCCCCTACGCTGGGGACCCTCAGCCTACGGTGGGAGATGGCCACCCCAGAGGCTGGGGCATGCTAGGTGAGTGTCTGCTTGTGCATATGTGTGTGAATGAATGATGCATGGGTGAGTGACTAAGAGAACACTGAACGATGACTTAGTGAGTGCGTATAAATAAGTGAATGGATGCGTGAGTGCTGAGTGAGAGAAGGAGTGAATGATGCACGTGCTGGGGATGAGTCTCCAACCCCATCTAGCTAAGGAGAGCAGCCTTGAGGTGGCATCTTCCCAAACAGAGTCCACAGATGAGATAGAGGCCTCCAGCTGTGGGACAGTGTGAGGGCCCAGGTGACAGTGTGCTGAGATGCGTGAGAGCAGCTGGTCAGTGGAAGTTGGGCAGGTGGTGGTGTGGAGACCAAGTGAGCACCTTGCCTGCCCCTGGGCCCGAGGGGGCTGTGACAGCGACATCTGGTCCCTGGCCCATCTGCCCTGCACTGCATTCAGTTATTCTTCCACTCGTTCATTGACTTAGTCATGCCTCATTCACTCCTCTTACTCCTCACTCACTCACTCATTTGTTTACATTCCCTCGCTCATCCATTGTTCACTCATTCTCTTACTCATTCACTCCCTGATATATCACTCACTCACTCATCATTCACTTGCTCACTCATTCTCTTACTTATTCATTCATTCACTCATTCATTCATTAACCCCTGCGACCAGCACATACCAGGGGTGCCAGGGGTGCCAGGAGTAACACCTGGAGTAAGACCTGGCCAGGCAGGTGTGCAGGAGCCCCCTCACGCCACTCGCCATCTCCCAGCCTCAGAGACAGATGCTGAAAGGTGTCCCTAGGAGGGCAGTTCACCTCAATGAGTCCCACCAGAGTCAGAAAAAATCAGACTGCTCCCAGCAGCCATCAATCATGGATCGATAGTCGGGCAGCCCTGCAGGTGGCTGTGGGCTCTGTGGAAGCCAAAGTCCCAGGTGAGGCCTGGGGTGGGGGGAGTATGAGGATAGGGCTGGCTGGGCTGGCCCCAGGTGCCCTCTTTCCGAAGGTTCATGGTGCCCCCATGGGCACCAGTGGATGGAAGCCAGTGCCTTGAGCAGTGTTCGAGGCCCTCCAGCCTGGTCATGCCACCTCTTCCACCTCCACATCTGCACTTTGGGCAAAATCCTGCTCTGAGCTTGGGTACACCTCCATCCTTCCCATCACACCCTTCTGGCCCTGCTCACCTGCCTCCTGGGAATTAGCTTAGTTACTTAGCTCCTTAGTTGGAAAAGGAGCCCACCTGGCTGAGCTTCCCACTGGTCCTCTACCTGAGTTCCTGGGTCACCAGTCAGTCCCTGCGGCCCTCTCCTTGCAGCCCCACACCCCACCTTGCTTAGTTCGCAGGGTGGCATCTATTGCCCCTTGCCCACTCCAGCCAGCCTCCAGCCTGAAACTCCTTCAGACATCTTGGCACTGCGCTGCTGGAGCACGTCAGGCCTGTTCCGAGCGAGGGCCACAGCCCAGGTTTGGGGACTGATAGTCAGCTGCTCTCTGTGCCTTACCCTGAGGGAACTGACCAGGGATAGGAGGGAGGCCCAGAGCAGGGATGGAGAAGAAGGACGCTGGGCAGGGAGGCCTGAGGAAGCCCACAGTGATGGGCTGGAGAGAGTCTGCCCTGCTTTGTAAATGGACAGTGGTGGGGTCCCAGCAGCTGGTGGTGCTGGTTAGCCCAGCAGGGAGGAGGATGAAGTAACAATCATTCATAGATGAAGTTTGCTTGGATGATGAATTCCATGCAGTGGGGCCTGCCCCTGCCCCATAACTCTGGCCCTTATCTCCTGCCTCTCCCTGCTGTTGCAAGGAGAGTGTGGTATGCACAACAAACCAGACTTCACGTACCCTGCCCAAATCAGTGTGCATCCTTTCAAGAAAGCCCACACTTCCCTGCTGGCTGTGCAATCCCCACACCTGCCTTGAGCTTTGACAGTGCCAGGCTGCCTCTGGGCCTTTGCACAGGCTGTGTGTGTCCTCTGCCTAGACACTGGTCCCTTCTCTTACTTGCTGCAGGGGGTCACCCTGACTAAGTCTCCCCTCACTCCACGGTCCCCAGCCCCTAGAGCACTCTGCAGAATCCCCCTCTGGTCTGGTCCTCTAGGAAGCCTCTTTCTTGGTCTCCTTTGCAGATGTTCAAACTGCTGGCCAGAGCCTATGCTGATGTTCACCCCATGATGATGGACAAGTCAGAGCACAGGTGTGGGGGCAACTTCCTGAAGAGGGGCAGCATCATCAACGGGGCGGACTGGTACAGCTTCACGGGAGGTGCGGCCCTGCAGGGTGGGGCAGGCTGGGAGCGTCAGTGGCTGTGGGCCACGCTGGCTGAGTGTGGAGGGGTTGGGGCCCTGGGCTCCTTGAAGGGAGTCATGAGCAAGGCCGTGGGGGCAGGGCTCAGAATGAGGAGGGGGTATGGTGGGTAGGGGTCATCAGTGGGCCTTGGCAGTGGGTGAGGCAGAGCCAAATGGGGTTGAAGGAGTGGGGCCTTGAGCTGGGCTAAGCCTGCAGAAGATGAAGGGACCCTTTGGAGGGGGTCTCAGGCAGGCTGTGGAGGTGGGGGACCTGAGGGCCAAGACCCATGGCTGGAGTGGGTGGGGCCTTGGAGGGAGCCAGGACCATGGGAGGGACTGGGCCACCTGAGCAGGGCCCATGGGTAGGGAGGGGCGGGGCCATGGGTGGGACTATGGTGGGAGTGGCTAGGGCGGGAGGTGAGGCAGGGTCAGGGCCTCACTTCCATCCTATTTGAACTAGGTCTAGAATGTTGGAGACCCTGAAAGGCAGGCAACAGCGCATGCCTCCTGGGGAACCTTCAGCTCAGAGAGTGGAAGAGGTTGACAGAGACTGTTTTAGTTGCTGCTCTGATGAGAAAGTGTGACTGTTGTGAAGGTCCCACTGCACCTTTCTGTAGTCCTCATCTCTGTAGTTTTATGAACACTTGAAATTCACAATTCCACCTGTACATTTTAGGGGTTAAACAGGGTCGCTGGATGAAAGCCCAGTTAAAGTGGAATTTCAGAGACACAAAGAAGAATTTTTTTAGTACCGTATAATTATGTCCCAGTGCATGGGATATACTTATAAGAATATGCATGGGGTATAGTTATACTAATATTTCGTCTATTTCTCTGAAGCTGACTGGGTATCTGTATTTTTGTTTCCTGAAGAGGCCCCGGAGGAAAGCATCACAGGCAGCTCGGTGTGCTGCACACGCTAGTGTGCCTCCTGAACCACACTGCTGGGCTGGGCCACCTGCCCTGCCTGCCCCCACCCATGCTGCACTGACCACCTGTGTTGTTCTGTAGATGAGGCCACTGGGCTCTGACAAAGGAAGGACTTTCTCTGGGCCATAGGTGGCAGGGGCAGGACTTACATTGCAATCTTGTCTCCCCACGCGGCCTGTGCAAGCAGACAGAGAGGGTGGCCCTTCTCATGTGCTCTGAAGCCATGACCACGGCCTGCTCTGCAAGCATTCCTCCACTGACCCATGACTGGCACATGTGGTCTTTTCTCTTGGACAGGGCAGCTGCTCTCCCTCCCAGAACCCAGCCATGTCTGTCCCCCACGAACCTATAACTGGGATCTGCAAAGGACCCCCAGGGAGTTGAGCTGGGAGAGGCCAGCCAGCCCCCTCTCCCACACTGGACACAGCCCAGGGACAGCACAGGGCTAGTGGCTAGGGCCAAGGCCAGATGGAGGGACGGTGGCTGCACTGGGAGACAGTGACAGTCAGCAGTGGCCCCAGGCATTGGGACTCACAGAGACCTGGAACTTGGAAGGGCAGGGCTGCTCCCTGTGGCCCTGACAGGCTGCCCTGCCAGTGAGGCACCTGGACCTGCTTGGCAGTGGCTTCTGCTGGACAAAAAGACTTCAGCAGCAGATGCAGCAGTGGCAGAAGCAGATGAGGCCTCAGTTGGCCCTTTCTCTGCTCCCTCCATGGCTGGTTGTCCAACCTTGCCTGGTCCCATGTTCTCCTGGAAGGTGGAGATAGTAAGACCACTCTTGCTGGGGCTACTGTCAGGACGACATCTAGGTAAATGGACGTTACTGTCATTCTGAGTCCAGGCTGTGACATCAGGGGCCCATGCAGCTGCTCCTTGCTGCTGGCTTCTCTGCGGGAGTTGATTTTTTCTTTTCCTGACAGAGGTAGCACAGTTTGGTGGTGAAGCCTGTGGTGGAGATTTGCCACCAAAGCGCCTGAGCTTGGAGTCCAGCTCTGCTCTTCCCTCATGTGACCTTGGATAAGGCCCTAGATGCCCCGAGCCTCCATCTACTCATCTGTAAAGTGGGATGATAGCACCCACTCCATTGTTTAGTCCCTCGACACAGGAGGTGGTGACTGTTGGCGCATGCCTGCCTGTGCCTGTCTGTCCTCACTGCCCCCGGCATGTGGCTGGCTGTGCCCCTGACAGCATGGCTGCCCTTGTGCTGCAGGCATGTCCGACTTCAACTACCTGTATACGAACTGCTTTGAGATCACCGTGGAGCTGGGCTGTGTGAAGTTCCCTCCTGAGGAGGCCCTCTACACGCTCTGGCAGCATAACAAGGAGTCACTCTTGAACTTCATGGAGACAGTGAGTTCCCAGCTGGCTTCACTGCTCTGGCCAGCAGGGCCTGGGTGCCACAGCCTCAGCTCCCTCTGCATTTGGGCCATGTGTGGTGGTCCTTGCTGCAGTACGTGTAGGCCCATTTAACCTTCACGTGTTTGTGAGTTAACTGTCTTTGCACGGCTCAAACCACCACCTAGCAATCTTCTTATGTGCCTGGTGGGGTTCTGGGGACCCCATGGCCCTCTGTCGGAGTCCCCATGAGTAACAATCTCACGTTATTTTGCATAAAGGGGCACAATTAAATGTGCATAAAGGGGCACAATTAAATGAGGGAAGCACAGGGGTTGGGGAAGCCCAGGGTAGCCACCTGACTCAGCCTCAGAGTCCATGGGGGCTTCCTGGAGGAGGCGGCCATTGTGCGTCCTCTTGAAGTAGGGTAGGAGAAACCAGACAACAGGCCAGACCAGGGGTGGTACGTGCTAGAAATCCACAGGGCCTTGAGGTCCTCGAGGTCCCTGCAGCTGCAGGGGGAGCAGGCTGTGGGACGAGGTGGGCAGTACTCAGGGGGATGCACAGGGGCGAGGGCTGTGGCCACAGGACACCATGAGGCCCAGACAGGACACCATGCGGCCCAGGCAGGGCCTTGGGCATGTCTGCCCTTTGGACTTAGGGAGGGCACAGGCAGGAAAGGGCTGTCAGAGGTCCAGGGAGGGGCAGGGGACCTGACTGTGGGGTGACCACTGTCTTGGGATTGAGGTCTGTCAGAAACAGGTAGACGGACAATGTGTGTCTAAAATAACACACTCACGGGACCTGGGGAACTAAGGTCTCCCCTGAACTTAGTGTCAGGGCAGAGACTGTTCCTGCCTGGCAGGGCTCTCAGAGGGTGTTTGGGACCGAGGCACTTGGGAGGTCAAATAGAAGAGAATCTGGGATTTAAAGAAGCTTCAACTATTTTTTCCCAAGTATTTTCAAGAATCATTCAAGTTGCATATTGGCACCGACACCCTGGTGAGAAGCAGGCCCTCAGAGAGGACAGCATGGCCCAAAGGCAGCAGGGGGAGGAGGGGTCAGAAGGGCACTACATTTTGCAGTTGGCACTGCCACAAATGGCGTGGAAGCCTGACAGGTCTCAGCACAGACGGGGCTGCTGCATTTTATAGATGGGATTCAGCGGAGGGATGGTGCTAGTCCGTGGTCCCTAGGCTGCACATGGACTTACGTTTGAAGAATGCAGTGGCTGTGAGACTGACTGCCAAAGGAGGAGACAGAAGGTCAGAGAGTGACATGGCCTGTCCAGTGTAGACCTTGAGCCACTGTCCCCAGTTCTGTCAATTAGCCCCCTCCTTTCTAGAAAGATCAGGAACCTTCCTCCAGGTAAGATGCAGGCCGAGCCTTCTTGGAGCAGCAGCAGCCGTGGCAAAGGGAGAAAACAAAGCTCCAGGTAATAAGTGGACCTCGTCAGTGTTGTTTGAGTTTTTTATGGCTGTGCTGGTGACCTCTTGATACTTGGGGTTAGTCTTATCATTTGATAAGGGCTCTAGACCAGACCGCCGCACTCATTTCATTTTATGGCTGTCTGGTGAAAATGAGTTTTAAGGAGCCTTGGATGGAGTGGGATTGCTCTGTGGATATTGTCTGTGAAGTCTTAGGATATGAAGATTTACTAGCGTGTGCCACACTGCGGAAGGCTGGGCAGCAGGCTCGCTGGCTCCTGAGACAGATGCCCCCCAGGAGAGCTGGCCGCTGCCTCCTGATAAAGATCGAGTCTGTCATGGCCAATTGAGGGTTTTTCATATTATCCTGACCAGTCCTCGGGTGGGTGTCTACTTGCCTGGAGTAAGGTTGGGGGGCAATGCAGCCATCTCACCTTACCTACTGGGGAGCTCTAAGTCCTGATGTGTGAAGCTGACTTCAGCCTCAAAGCCAGGACAGAACAAAATCTATCAGGGGCAGGGTGATGTTGGGGGAGGACCTCCTGTGTACCTGGCCCCTGCTCTCAGGTTGGGGCTGGGAGGCAGAAGTGAGATCAGCATTGAGAGCGAGGAAAGCTAGGGCTATGGGGTCCTGGGAGAGACCCCCAATGTGGCCAATCATTTGGGAGGGCTTCCTAGAGGAAGAGGAATGTGAGCTGTGCCTTGAAGGGAGAGGAGTTGGTCAGCTGGCAAAGAAGGATGTTCTCTTGGGGGACGAGGGGCCTCAGAGGAGGTGAAGGGCAGCCTCTGTCCTTCCTGCTTCTCCCCATCACCCCCCACCCAGGAGAGTCTTACCTTATAAGCTCCAATCCCCTCTCCCCAACATGAGTTTGCAAGAGACTGTTTCAGGAGTGCAGTTCCATTAAGCAGCAACATGGGGGCAAGACCCTTCAGGTATCGGTCCCAAGCCCAGGAGGGCAGCAGGAGGTGGCTGGTCTCTATGTGGAGAGGGGCAAGGCCCCATGATATGCCCATCACAGATTCTACGAGCTCTGGCTTCAAAACTCTCCAATGCTGGAGTCAGCCAAGGCAAAGGAGGCACGCGACCACCTCTGATTTGCAGAGTGCCCCAGACTGGGTGCCAGGAAGGACTGACAGTGAGCACTGACCAGCAGTGAGGAGCTGCTGAGTCTGGGTCTGGCTCCACAGCCCACCAGCTGTGTGTCATCAGCCCATCTCTATGCGTGGGGATTCTTGCCTGCCAGTGACAGAGGGGAGGGTTGTTATCCTCATGTGCGGACTGGGAAACTGCTGCTGTTGTCAGGGTATGAGCCCTCGGTGTGTGTCCTGGCCAGTGCTCACACTGTCTTCCAGAGCATCAGCTCCGAGGGGGCTCAGAAAAGTCAGAGGAAGGGCAGGAAAGGGTTCTCTGCTCCACACCTGTGGTCAGGATTGGAGTCAGCCACACTCTCAGGGAGAGCCCCGGAGTCATTTGAAAACTCAGAATGTGCTTGGATTGATTGCTATGAGACAGAGGGGGTGACTAAATGAAGATTGCAAATCAGGAAGGGACAGAGTAAGGCTCAGCCTGGCAGTTCCCCAGATACCCTGGACTCTGGGGAGCATGGGGGTGGGCGGTGCTGACTTGGTGCTCTCTGCACTCACATCATCTCAGCTGCCTCTCCCTGGTCTCTTCAGGTGCATCGGGGCATCAAAGGAGTGGTGATGGACAAGTTTGGCAAGCCAGTCAAAAATGCCCGGATCTTAGTGAAAGGTATCCGGCATGATGTCACCACAGGTGAGCCTCCTCTTGGGTCTCACCTGGGGCCCATGCTTGGCAAGGGGATGCCACTCGGTAGTGTGCCTAGCGCCTGACAGATGGCACTGTTTATCCCAGGCTGGCCTGGCTAGGGAGGATGGATGGGAACCTGGGGTCTGTGTCTGCCATATATTGTGTCTCCTGCATTTGGTCCAGGGCAGAGCTTGCTGGGGTCACAGCTGGTGAATGACAGTAGATATGTGTTCTATATTCCTGGGAAGATGCCTGTTTCTCAGAGATGGCTGGGGAGAGCCAACTCCACTCATGAGCCTATTTGCTCATATCCCAAAGTTGATATTCAATCGATAAGCTGCTGTGCCCAGCCTGGTGTGGGCTCTGGCTGCCCTTGGGGATGGCACAGTATACTGTATTGAGTGTTTCCTGGCAGAGACCCAGCATAGAGGGAGAGAGACTTGGGTATGGGGGATGGCAATGGTCACTGAAGGCTTCAGAGATGACAGGGTACCTAAGTAGGGCTTTGAGGGATGAATAGGAGTTTGACAGAGAAAAGAAGTGAGAGGGACATTAAAGGACCATGCAGAGGGAAGTGCAAATTTGGGGTCTGCCTGCCTTCCAGGCTTACCTCCCCCAGTTACACTCATTCATCATTTTGAGGCTATGTCTGCAGCCCTGGTGAGAGTCATTTTTATGTATTTGTCCACAGCCCCAGATGGTGACTATTGGAGGCTGCTGCCTCCAGGGTCCCACATTGTCGTTGCCCAAGCTCCTGGCTACTCCAAGGTCATCAAGAGAGTCACCATCCCTGCCCGGATGAAGAGGGCTGGCCGAGTGGACTTCATTCTGCAGCCTCTGGGGATGGGACCCAAGAAGTCCCTTCAGGGGCTGCGGAGGACTGGGCCTGGGCCCTGGTCCCATGACCCACTGGGAAGTGGCAGCTCTCGGGGGGCACCCATGGAGCCAGACCTTGATCCCCTGGGGGCACGCAGGCAGCCTTCGGCCGGCGGGAGCAAGCCCTGGTGGTGGTCCTATTTCACCTCGCTGAGCACCCACAGGCCACGCTGGTTGCTCAAGTACTAGATGCAACTGCCCTCCGTCCCTGCGTCTGGGCACCTGCCTCTTGATCTTGTCTGCCACAGATGTCCCCCAAACCCACTGCAGTTTTATTAAAGTGTTTTTATTCACCTTCTACTGTGAAGAAGGCTTTGCGTGCGGTGCCTGTCAGGGAGGAAAGGAAATCAACTTTTGTTATTTGGGGGCAGCTTTAGCCTGTGGTCAGGATTGGAGTCAGCCACACTCTCAGGGACTCTCAGGACGGCCCTGAGCAGGTGTTCTCCTGCCCCACAGTTGGTCGGCCCACATGTGCTGGACTCTGTGGACCAGCTGGCCTTTCTCAGACTACCAGACCAGTCTTGATGTGACTTTACACATGGGCTGGGGGCAGTGGTGCAAGGCCACTGCAAGCTGAGCTCTGGCTCCTGTAGCCACAGCTTGTGTGTCCAGGATGCAGAAGTGGGAGGCCTGGATGGGAGGAGAGGGGGACATCAGATGACCCAAGGCATAGTCCAGGCCTTGAGTGCAGGAGAGCTGGCCAGAGGCTGGGGTCCAAGAGGTTACATTCAGAGGATTATAGGCCTCCAAGTGGGTCTTCCTAGGTCTTTCTGTCATTTACATGATGCCACCAGTTTGGGTCTAGGGACCCTTCATGTCCCAGTCTCTCCACAGGTACCCATCCCAGTCCATCCCTTTCATCATCAGCAGGGCATGTTGGTCCTGGGATCCCCTCTTTGCAGATGAGGTGCAAGGTTATGTAGTCTAATTAGAGAATGCTGGCAAGGGAGGTGTGTCAGTCAGTTGCAGCTGAGTGACAAAGGGCCCCAGACTGGGTCCTTAAGCAGCAGTCCGGAGGGCAGAAATCCGAGATCCAAGGGTCGGCAGAGCTGCTTCCTTCTGAGGCCTCTCTCTTTGGCTTGTAGGTGACTGTCTTCTCCTTGACTCTTCACATCGTCTTCCCTCTCTGTGTGCCCTTGTGCCCAAATTTCCTCTTATATTTGGTGAATAGCCCTCCCAAATGACCTCACTTTAGTTTGGTTACCTTTATAAAGACTCCATCTCCAAATAAGGTCATACTCTGAGGCTCTGGAGGTTAGGACTTCAGCATATGAATTTGGGGGACACAATTCAGCTTATAACAGGCATCCTCTACAATGCAGCAGGTTCCAAACTTGCTCCTGGCTGTGCCTTTGGGAATCCTTGATTTCCAGGCCCGGGCAAGGTTATGCCCCATAGAAATGGGGGATCTACTTTGAGGGGCCCTGACCTCAGCAAAATGACACTGTGGTCTCCAGCAGCACTAGCATCACCCCATTGCCTCCGGGCAGCCTGTGCCTGAATGTGGGAGGCTTTAGGCTCACAGCTGAAGCCTGGGGGAGCAGCAGCGCTGGGTGGTGACGCTCAGGTGTCCTGCGGTCACACATTCAGTGCAGCAGGCCACAGTGCTCAGCAAGGCACGTGTGCATCCCCTAATGCTCTGGAGTTTTTGCCAAACACCTTACACCTTCAGAACACCTGTGCCCTGCATCCACCATACACCTGGTGCTTTAGAGATCAACACTTGTGTGTCCCATGTACAGAGCACCGTGTGAAGTCCTCTGGATCCCCCCTTTGAAGATGGGGGTGCAGCAGGGACAGCTTGTGCAGACTGCTGGGACCTTGGGCCTGCTGGTGGCAGCTCAGTCCCCCTGGAGGGGACCTTGTGTCAGGCTTTCCCTGAAGTTCTACCCTCTCACACCACTCAAATTGTCTAGAGAAGAGTTGCTGGGCAGGTGTGTGAGTTAGTGATGACCCAGCCGAGTGCCTAGTTCATGCCAGGGACTAAATGCGTGGTCCCTGGGGGAGAAGGCAGGGTAGGATGAGAAGATGGTCAGGGAGCCGTGGGGAAGGCCATGAAGGGTGGGTTGTGGCAGCTGTGGGGGACGGGGTGGGGGTGACATGGATGCAGGCTCCCTCTCCACACGTCACCCTTCACCTGGCCAGTGGGAGGGAGGTCATTTAGTAGATCCTATGTCCTTTGGATAGAACCCGAGCAGTCCTTGGTGACATCCATCCTTCCTCTGGATCCGTTTCATTTTCTCCAGTTTCCTGGTTTTTAGTGTAAAAGTTGTAGAACCAAAATGGAGTCACTTGCATTAGAAAACAAAAGATAAACCCTTGACAGAGGCATGGAAGGCCAGGAAGAGAGAGTCTCCTCCTCTCTTGATGACAAAACTATTGCAAAGACTGCATAAACCACGCAATTTTGTACAAAGGTCATCACAACCTTATTGAAAAGGGCTTTGGTGAGGACATCTGTCCAGCAGCTGCCTGTCCAGCCATGGAGTAGCACCACCCTTGTTACCAATCTTTGTAGTCAAGGATAATCGTCCTAAAAGAAGCATGCAACCCTCATCTGCCTTCCCTCATCTCTGTTTTCCTTCATCTCGCACACAGCTCACTGTGGCACATATATTCCTGCTGCGATGCCCTTTCCTGAATAAATATCTTCTTGTTTTAGAGAGGCTCTCTCTGTGTGCTACTTAGGTTGGCGCTAGTGTATGGAATGGCACTTGGAAGACACAGCCTGCGCACCAGGGCCCCTCTCTGTTCCCGGGGTGCTTGCTGCTTCTAAACCCTATCCATGGACAAGGCTAGAAAAAGGTTTCTTTCTAAAGGAAAAATACAGACAGTTCATATTGATACTCCAGTTCCAAGTCGGAATTGCCCCTTTCTCCTATGCGGAGAGTGCTTCTCCTCAGCAGGGGGCCATGGTGGGGTTGGAGTTCATGTGACTGCCTGTTTGCTGCTTGCCCGGCACATGCATGAGCCTCAGAACAGCACAGTCCCACTCACAGCATGCTTACTGAAAGCACCCCCAGCTCTTATTTTCTGAAGGTCCTTTTGTTTTGGAATATAATCCACCAGGATATAAGGTCAAAGTATTCATGTTTTCTAATCCTGGCAGCTGAGAAGACCCCAGTACAGAGGGCAGGGAAGAGCCCCACACCCCTGCAGAAGCAGGCCTGGCCTGGGAGGATACACAGACTGGATCCGAGGGGATGGGCATCACTTTGCACACAACGAAAAGACAGACACATTCAAGGGCAATGTGAAAAATCTGTGGAACTTAAATTTCTGATTTGTAAAGCAAAACGAGCCATTTTATGAGCCAAATTACAGGAGAGATTCGTGTCTCTGAGTTCTGAATTAGAGGTGGGGAAGACAAGTGGAAGAATAACTTGAGATCTGGGCAAAAGCCCTCTCTGAGGGAGAGTCTGAGGGGAAAGAGATTTTGAGAACATGTCAAAAGACCCATGGGCAAATGGCAGGGAAAGAAAGAAGGACAAGTAATAGAAATTTCTTTTTTAGCCAATTGAGTGTCCTTGCCTGCAGATGGGAAGGAATCACAAACTCCAGATAGGATTGTGCAGCCGTGACACAGCCGTGACACAGCCAAGACATCCAGCTGTGCGTGGATTGATAAAATTCCTGAACTCAGAGGCAAACCAAACATTTTATAAGCTTCCATAAGAAGAAAGGGGTAAAGAACACCAGATTGGCATTGGACTTCTTATTTGTAACTGAGCTAAAAAATGATGAATTGATGTCCACAAAGTAACCAGAGGAGAGGTCACTGGTCTGGACGGTGTCCTGTATCTGAGATGAATAATAATCATAAATGATATGATGGTAGCTGATGCCCACAGATGGTTTTGCCTACCGAGGCATGGTGTAAAGTGTTGTCAGAGCTTGTTTTATTTGTTGCCTCTAATTAATGGGAAAGATATTACAATTAATCCCATCTCATGAGCACAGAGAGGTTAAGTAATTTGTCCATGGTCTCACAGGTAGGTTTGGAAACTGGAAAACATGGCTTTGGGATCCGTCTGTGTTCTAGCCATTCTCTCATCGTCTCTTCAGATAGAATTTACAACTCACAGAGATTTCCAGATTTGCAAAGATGAAGGAATACACTACCCAGACAATCATCTGAGCAAACGACCACAGGCTTAGTTAGAGCCCCAGCATAGAGGTAGATGGAAGCAGGGACTGTCCCGCTGTGCTCACTGTGAGAGTGAAGGGAATGTGAGCGGGATGGGGAAGTGTGAATTAAACGCGAAGTCAGGAGCTGTGAAGAAGGAAGACATCCCAGGCTGACCTCAGAGCCTTGGCTGTGCAAGCAGGGGAAGGTCCTCTCCCGTGAGGTCAGGCGCCGTAGGGAGAAGTGGGTAACGGGGAACGTGCAGACCCCGGGAGCAGGGCCGCTGGCTGCTGGTCCAGGGCCAGGAGCTTGGACTTCCTCAGTTAACACAGAACTGGAGTTTGATCTTGAGGCTGAGGAAGGAGAGGCGCCCCCTAGTGGCATGCACAAGCCCAGGCTCCCCGGAGACGCGGACAAGGACCAGGCGTTTGGCGGATAGCACAGGATAGCAGCAGCAGCCCGCCGGACAGAAGTGTGCACAGCAGGACCAAGGAAGTGCCAAGCACAGGAGAGCACAGAACAGGGCTCAGTGCAGACTGCCAGGGACGCCAAGGGCCTGAGCCCCGGCTCGCAGACCCCAGACTGGGCTGAAAGAGAAAGTATTCGAAAGAACATGTTTAAAGGCAAGTGCTGAACAATGCTCGGAATAAAGGGCTGTCAAAGAGCCCAGCAATGCAAGAGGGAGGCGAGGGTTGCACTGTTAGTCCAGAGGTGAGATCGAAGATCAAGCTTTATATGGGGAAGAGAGACATTTCGAACAATTAAAAGAACAATTTATGAATAAGACAAAATAATCGGCATTATGCACTAATCAACTTAGCAGCTAACTCCATAAAGCCAAGTTATTTAAAAATACCAGGAAAGCTTCAAAAAAGCAGTATTGTAGTAGGGATTTTAAGGAACTATTTCAGATTCAGATCAATTTAGTAGATGATAAATCAAACTATCCAGTTTTAGAGAAATTGAACCACATAATCAGCAAACTAGATTTAATAGATGTATAAATCATTTCTTACTTCAAATAGAGATTATACCTTTTTCCCCAGACACTCTCGGAGCATTTGTAAAAATTGATAATGTACTCAGTGACAAAGAAAGCCTTCAGAAAATTCAAAAGGTAGATATTTTCTCTAGTTGTATTCTAGAAAAATTAGAAATACATTAAATAAATAAAATT